GGGGGAGGGGGGAGAGGGGACTTATGGGTCCATGGCCTATAAGCTGGGATATTTTTGCCAATCAGAAGAGCCTGTTAGATGACGTCGCAAGTAGCAGCGCTAAAAGAAGAGGAAACTGACCTTTATCTACATGAAACAACAGCAGACCATAGGCTTCGTCTACACTTAGCTGCTTGGTGATGACTGACTTGTCGAATAACTGACGAATGCTATCACCTGAGGGAAAAGATAATGACCATTCAACCACAGGTAGCCCGCAAGTAAAAATAACTTACAAATGCCATCAGTTGGGAAAGATAATGAACCATTCAACCACAGGTATCCCGCAAGTAAAAATAACTTACAAATGCCATCAGTTGGGAAAGATAATGAACCATTCAACCACAGGTAGCCCGCAAGTAAAAATAACTCACAAATGCCATCAGCTGGGAAAGATAATAAACCATTCAACCACAGGTAGCCCGCAAGTAAAAATAACTCACAAATACCATCAGCTGGGAAAAAGATAATGAACCATTCAACCACAGGTAGCCCGCAAGTAAAAAGTTAATGCAATAAAAACCACAGGGAACCCGCAGGTAAATAATCGAGTGGCCAACAAAAACCACAGGCAGCCCACTCGTAGTTATATTGTTCTATTATTAGAGGTACTCACCGAGTACGACGAAGATTCCACTTTCGGTACCGAGAACTAAAGCATCACCTAAATAAAAGAAGAAAATGAAATGAAGGGAAGAGAAAATAAGGAAGAGAATTATCTTTTCAAAACGACTGCCAGAAAAGAACAAATTTCTGCACTTACCCCAAGAATCTCCACACAATATTTTATGAGGGAAATCTTCATATACGGTCTGCTGTTGCCATGGCTACGAAACACAAACACACAATCTCAGTTACGAGTGGGAAACATACATTGAATACATAACATTGAAACGGCTTCCCATAAGAATGGTTTTCGTATGATTGGGAAACATACGGTACTGACTTAAAGCACGTACACGGTACGACATGTCGTAACATTGAAATGGCTTCACATAAGAATGGTTTTCGTAAGAGTGGGAAATATAAGGTACTGACTTAAAGCACGTACACGGTACGACATGTCGTAACATTGAAATGGCTTCCCATAAGAATGGTTTTCGTATGATTGGGAAACATAAGGTACTGACTTAAAGCACGGTACGACATTGAAATGGCTTCCCATAAGAATGGTTTTCGTAAGAGTGGGAAACATACGGTACTGACTTAAAGCACGTACACGGTACGACATTGAAATGGCTTCCCATAAGAATGGTTTTCGTAAGAGTGGGAAACATACGGTACTGACTTAAAGCACGTACACGGTACGACATGTCGTAGCATTGAAATGGCTTCCCATAAGAATGGTTTTCGTAAGAGTGGGAAACATAAGGTACTAACTTTTGAAGTCCATCCTACCTCAGCTTTGACATTGGCTGACGTCGTAATGAGGCTCGTAGGGGCGTCACCTTTTACTATAGTTTTCAATTTCAGCGACTATGAATAAACAAACAGCATTATTATCACATGGCATTAAGAATGGTAGCCTAAGTATTAGAGAAATGTTGTTGGTTAGCTTCGTCTGCAAATAAGCGAAAGATTTCTTGTTCTAGACCCACAGCAACGTGCCTAGATATATGTACTAATTTGCGATTGGATAATCCCTACTCAAATTCTTACGCACCCTTTCATTAGATGATTAGCGTTACTCGAAGCAGGCTGATTCGCAGACGAACCTAACTTGTGCCCAACAAGTTTGTGTTTGAATGCACGTAGACTATTTGTTAGTTGGCTGTGACCTGACTTACATCAGAGGTTGTTGCAAGTGTTTCACAGGGTTCAATGGTAATAATCTCACCTGACCAAACTGTACAAACAGCTGCTCTCTTTCTGTCTCTTTTCGTCTGTTTCCTCTCGGCTGGTCTGATATCGCATCTCCCCATGACTTGCGAACCCCAATTTTCTAAATAAAAAAATCAACAAAATAAGGAAGGATGAAGAGAGACGAAAGAGAGGGAAGGAGAATAGGAAAGAAGGTAAGGAAAAACCGAAAAAGTTGGAGAGGAATTAGGGGAGGGGAAGCTAAACAGCTTCTTTCGTTCTTCGGATCGTCACGCAACGTTTCTTTCCTGTGAGGAGATCGAATAAGGTTGTGTGACGACCCTAAGAACGTCGGCATGGCATGATACGATTAGCTATTCTGAGGAAAAAACTGGGTTGAGTTGGCA